CGAATTCGTCATTAAATTGCCAATCAAATGGCAATCAAAAATCAATTTTTTGAAAAATTAACTTTATGACCAATTTTTGCATTTTTGATGAGGGGGTACAACATCAATTTTTGCGAGAATTTGATAAATTCAAAATTTTTTAACTGTGAATGCCATGTATGACATTCCATCCATTGACCATTTCTTCCCGAGGTTTTGATCCAAAAACTGATTTTTTAGGTGGCTTTTTTTGGTTTTCTGGAGATTTGTCAAAAAATAATTCCTAAATCGTCCTTTTGTTGTAACTTAGCCAAAAACAAAGGTATAGCCATAAAAGTGACTTTTTTGGACAGCTGGCAACCTATACTAACTATCCATAATCGGTTTAGAAACATTGATTTGATTTTGATAAAAAAACCGATTTTTGAAAATCAATTTTTTGGAAAATTAACTTTATGACCAATTTTTGCATTTTTGATAACTGATAACTGATTATTTAGGTTGCTTTTTTTTGGTTTTTTTTTTTGATTTGTCAAAAAAAAAAAAATAAAAAAAGGATTTTTGAAAATTGATTTTGAAAAATTAACTTTACTTCCCATTTTCGCATTTTGGATAAGGGGGTGCATCATTATTTTAACAAGTTAAAATCTAGTTTTTTCGCTAGTCACTTGCATCCGTTTTGCCCTGCAACAACAAAACACATAAAATGTCTATCTTTATAAGTGATTTAGATCACTTAAAGTTAACATATTTGACTTCCTAACTCAAAATTGGTTGGCAAAGACTTTTAAATTTCCTTGTTTTTCTTAATCTAGTTTTTCCGCTAGCCACTTGCATCCGTTTTGGCCTGCAACAGGATTTCTATTTCCTCGGCCTGCTTGTGCTTGTGTTTTTCCTGCATTTCTTTTTCAACTTCTCTGTGCGGCTTGTGGTTTCCTCTCGCCGAATCGCCCATCCTGCTGATTCCGGACGGGCCCCTGGGTCCTTTCTCGTTTCTCGCCTTTTGTGTTGGACTCTCGGTTTCGCCCTTCCGTTGCCTATGCATAATTCTTTTATCTCAACCAGGCATTTCCCCCCACTTTCCCCTGTTTTCCGCTGTACTTTTGCTGCTATTGATGGCTTGTTTACATTGTGCCGCGCTCTCGCAACTCCCAGTCATTTGTCTATAATTGACTAATCGACAGGGCAGGCGGGAAAAGAAATCTGCAGGGGATCGATAGAAGTGTGGAGGATGCAAATGGCAATGTGAATGGCAAATGGTAGATGGTATATGACCAAAAACAGTGGATGGAGCAGCAAAGGGAACTGTGTCATAGACACTGCGGGCAGCTACTGTTCAAGTTTATGTTTAAGGTACGAAAAGTGGTTAAATGCAAATAATTTAAATATTTATATATCCTTTGAATACCTACTACAAGGATGTTTCGCCTTAAACATACACGGAACCTTTATTTCAGCTGAAAACTTTGTAAGCAGTAAAAGTTTAAGCGATGCCAACAATAACTTAAATATAAAATATTTAGTCAGGCTCACAACAGCCTTCCCATTTATGTATTTATCGAAATTTAAAGCACAGCAGGACTTAAGCATAATTCACATTTTCTTTGTCAATTAAATTGTAAATTTGCATTAAAGCTAATCGACATCCTGATCGTAAAGGTTTATTTACATTTCTAAAGACTATTTTTTAAATACCTAATTAAATTTAACCACCAAATATAGACACATATTATATATGTATTTTTTAATTACAGGAAAAGAGTAAGGGTACAAATGACTTTAAGTAATCTGGATCTGGAGCATATTAAGTCAATTTGTTAATGTTTTATTGCACTGCCTAACAACTTAAAAGGGTAATCTATCGAGTAGCCTGTGAGTGGCGGCTTGAAAATGTATTTTGCGGCTGCTTAGCTGCCAAAAGTCAGGACCAGTGCTTAATAGTAGTGCAAACCTGGCCAGAGTCATAGGATGGCGGAAGCGAATTGAATTAGCGCGGAATTCCGTTCTCAATTAAGCGTATAATTTCCATTGTGTGTATGTGTGTGTTTGGGCAATGGGTTTATACGTGTGTGTGGCCATTTTGATATGACCAGTTGGCGCAAATATTGGCCACGTAAATGTGTGGGCATGGGTTTGAGTATGGGCTTGTGGGTGAGCTTGGCTCGCTGTGCGGTTAATTAGATTGCGAGCAATAATATTGCATGAGCCGGCATTCGGGCGACTGCCTTGGCCCCCTTTGCCGTGAGTTCAAAAGGGGCGTAGCTGGGAAGGGGGCGCGGGAGGCTGCAGGTGAAGTGGGAATGGGAGTGGCCACATAGACCCGCTCACGCAAACACACATACGCTGTGTACACGTACATGTAATTAGCATTTCCTGTTTGGTTTGCCAATCTTGCACGTACACACGCATCTGCAACGGGGGGCGTTAAAGGTGAAAGGGACGAGGGGAAAGGTGAAAAGGGAAAGGGGGAAAGAGACGCACATAATTAGGCAAGCCAAAAATCAAACGCCATCTACATTCAAATTCAAATTGAGATTGCTCCGCCGATTTCGTTGCATTCGGCGTTACAATTGCACTAGGGAAAACAAGTAAATTTAAAAAAGATTTCAGGATTGGATCTAGAAGATTTCTATACGAAGCATTTGTTCTATAAATACATACAGTTGGGGTCAAAAAATAGAACTCAGGCAACATAAAATGATAAAAACCTTTCTGTTAGATCTTTCTGATAAACCTCACTTATTACTTAACCCAAAAACAAAACAACAATTTACTTTATAATTTTTTTACAACATAAATTTCACATAATTTCAGCTTATTTCTGCAATACTTGTATTTTTCCAGGGAATATTGTTTTGTTATTGTTTTTATTCATTCCGAATTTTCTTTTAACAACTTTTCAATTTACTTTTTTGCTGGTTTTGGGTACATGTTCAACATTCATTGTCTTCATAGAAGACTTCAACAGAGAATACAATATCCTAACAAACCACTTACAAAATATAATTGAAAAGAAAAGATTGTATTACTCAAAATTTCAGTGGCATCATCTGACTGGAAAGTGCTGCTGTCTGGCAGCCAATCCTTGCGTTTAATGACAGAAGCTCGTGGATCTGCGCGAATTGCAGCAGCCGATAATTGTACTTACTCCGTATCCGATATATTTTTACAGCAAATATGGATTTTAAGCTGATGTAACCATTGTTAAATTTAACGAATTTAGGCTAGAACAAATTTTCAGGTTTAAATGCGAATCGATAGGGAATTTTTCTACGAGCTCTACGAGGATCACGCAGCGCAGTTGGAGTCAACACGGACACACGCCCTCAGGATCTTATATTAATAATTACATCCTTTATATAAAGAAATTATGATAAACATTTATTGTGAATAAAAGCAACTCCTTTCCCATTTTGTTTGTTTATTATTGTCAATAGCGATATACATTTTGCGTGTGACCTAAGACTGCAATATATATCCTTACTTCTTGGCTAAAACTAAAAACGCTATAAAATTTTTATTTTTGCTCACTGACAGATGGTGGAATGCATGTAGAAATTGCAATATCAATTTTTCGGCTCACGGACAGAAGCTAAACGGCATGCAGATTTGCCAAAAATGTTTTGGTGTGCTCACTGACAGAAGCTATATGATACACGGGATTTTTGAAACAACAATTTTTTGGGGTGCTTACTGCTTATAAATATTATATTCTGACAACTGCGCTGCTCAGGTCCTTGGTTTTCCAGTGAAGTGCCGCAACTCCAGAAACTGCTTTCGACCTTATTCCGCGACGACAGGTACGGAATAAACATCGAACGGGCAGGGCAGGCGCAATTTGATGGGGCAAGAAATAAACCGAAATAAAACTAAAAACGAAATGGAGGGCAGATTTTGGAGCTGTGGGCCAACAGACAAATCAAGCGGTCTGGTGACCACAGGAGCATGAATTTTCTGCGGTTTCCCAGTTGCAACCATTATCACCTGGGGCTGTCGTGTAATTGCAGATTTTAATTTTTAAGCCGCGCACTTCATTCCTAAATTTATGCGCATGCATTATGAATGGAATGCATATGCCACGGAATGGCTTTGGGAATAGAGAATTTTAATTAGTTTGCTGCAATATGTATGCATTCGCATATTTTTTCATTTTGCCAAGAGCTGTGCATTTTCAATCAGAAGTCGGGCTCTGCTGGCGGCGCAAGTGTTGAAAACCGCTCCATAACCGTCAGCATCAGCATCAGCATAATCATCATCATCCGGCAGTCCATAAACTTATTCTACCGTTTCCGCCACTTTCCTCCGCCTCGTGTGTGCCATATAAATAAACATAATCGTGAAACAAGGCCAAGAAAGGCTATGGCAAAGGCAAAGGCAAAGGCAAAGGAGGTGGGCGGTGGTAGGCAACTTAAATACAGCGGAATTTTAATAGTTCACGTAAATGGTTTTTGTGGCGTTGGTAATGTTTATTAACCAACTTAGACGCCAAGCAACTTGGGTGCTCTCCGTTTCTGCCGTTCCTGCCGTTCCTCCAGTGAAGCGTGTTTAATGTTCACTTAAGTTGCGTTCATACAAATTTCTTCGCCGCCCAACGCCCAGCGCCCAGCACTCCTTTTGTTTTCGGTCCTGTCCGGTGTCTGTGTCTGCGAGCTGCCTTGCCTTGGTTATCCTTCGACTCTTCGGCCGAAAGTTTTGTGTGCAGTGGCTTTAGGTATCCTTAGCGGACTTGTTCCTTTGCCGCTGCTGCTCCTGCGTAAAGTGGATTCATTTGTGCCCCGTTTTAAATGCTTTGTTGTTTACATTCCTGGAAGTTTTGTGTCTCACGTCTCTGGCACGCTTCCGGTAAAGCACGATCCCATTTCCTTTTCCACAGCCATTCAGTTGGAAGAGCCCTTAAAGATGGCTCAAGTTTATCCACCTGGCTTGAATAAGATGGGGGTATTAGAAATTTAGGTAAATAATGGCTAAGAAATAAAAATCATAATCGTTTCACGAAATAACAACAATGGTATCATGTTTTTTTTGTTGAAAATTTTATTCATCAATCACTTTGTTCTCATATCAATTGTGTTTTATTAACTACGCAAAAAAAAATGAGGAAAGAAAATTGTGTTTCCTTCACACGCTTGTCCTTATCAGCTAGTAACTATCGTTAATACACTCAAGTATGTAACTATATCTTTATATCTGTATCTGTATTTGTATCTGTATATGTATATGTATTTGTGTTTATGTATAGTCGTACAACTATCGAATAGTTTAAGTGGGTGCATAGTTTCCCGAACTGTACACGACTCTCCTTAACTCCAACAACAATTTGACTAAGCTGCTATCAAAAATTCAAATATTACGAAATAATATAAAATAGAATAAAATAAAATACATAGGGAAATGTGCGTGGTGTATTTGTGTGTGTGTGTCTGTGTGTGTGAGAGTTTCGTATTGGTGTATGTGTATGTACAAGTTAAAAAAACACATGGTTATCGGGTATTGCTTGGTTAGAAACCAAAATAAAAGATTGAATTGAGCAGCTTCTCTTAGTTCTCGCCTATTCATTTTCATTTCCTGCTAGTTTATCCGATTTAAATCGGCCTAGTCCGCATATAGTTAGCTTTATTCTTAGGGCCTCGTCTTCTTCTTCGTCGTCGTTAACAATTTTCCTATTTACAGTTTACAACTCAAACTTTGTCAATTTGCTTTGTTTTTAGTTTTAGTTTTAAGTTTAAGTTTTTGTTTTTTTTTTATTTGTTTTGCTTAGCATTAGTGATATTTTTCGCTTGCGATTTTAAGGGGGCCATTTTACTTGCCTTTACAACAACATTAATATCGATTCTAACCGAATGTGAAAACAAAAATCCGCTGAAAATCCCCTTTTTCGATTTTATAATTCTTAATAAACATCATCAGTCTTGAACTTAGTTTAGGTTTCCTTTTCATTTTCCTTCACTTTCCTATGATTTTTCCCTCGACTTCTGCGCTCGTGTCTTCTTCAGCTGTGAACTCAGGGCAAATATGTTTTGTGGGTCTCGTTTTTTTTTTAAGTTGTGACCTTGTGTCTTTTTTGTGTCTTTTTTGTTTCTTTTTTTGTCTTCGCTTGTGAATGGAAATACATAATTAGAGGGCAGGGGGGAGGGGGGACGGGACTCACTACAATCCAGGTTCGAAGGCACAATTTCAAAAGTGTTCTCTCCTAACTCCGCAAACTAACTAACGCCTCTTCTATACACTAGCCATACTCAATTAAACACCGTTGAACTATTCGATATCGATGGAGTTAGACGGGGTAAACTAAAAGGAAAAAAAATGTTTCATTTTAAAATCTAAAAGGTATGTTACAAAAAAAAACTTTAATTTAAAGCTGGGAAATATCTACCACTTAAAAAAATGAAGCAGTTCAAAATTGAATAGATATAAAAACATTGCAATATTACAAATTGTATAAAGGTAACAGGTTCAAAACTTTGGGTAATATCTAAAACTGAAGAAGTTAATTATTTCAAAATCTAAAAGTTATATGTATATAGAAAATCAAGTTAAAAAACTTGTGTGTAATGATGGGGGATATGTAAAACTTAAAAGATTAATCATTTTATAACCCAAAAGGGATTTAAAAATGGTATAACCTAAATAGTTAGGTTCAAACACATTCATTCAATCATTTCACAAACCAAAAGGTATTAAAACAGTGCGTTATAACAAATTTTATGAGTATACTCCCTTACAAAACTTTAATTCCATCGAAATCGAATCGAAAACAGGGCTTCTTTTGGTATGGATTTTGGATGGGAACTCTAGACCTACTAACTAAACTCTAAACTCTCTCTTCTGCGCAGCATAAACTCAGGGATGAGAGTACGGGCTTTCGGGTTTCGATTGGGAATTGGAGTGCGAATGCCTCACACAAAGAACTCCTCGTTGCCGAGGCTGTTGCCGGATGCTTCAACCAATTGCCAAGGCCAGGACCATCCGCCAATGCCCCCGCCGAGCAGTGCGAATCACCGCTCCGTCGAGTGGGTGGTGGCGCCACCGTTGCCCAGTCCGCTAGAGCTGCTGCCCGAACCCGAGGAGGAGGAGGCCGCCGCATTGAGGCCCTGGCGGCGGAAGAAGCCCAGCGTGTCCAGCGCCTTGATGGTGCGTCGGATCAGCTCGTCCTTGTACTTCCAAATGGTCTTGTCCTCCACCGAGTGCTCGCGGTACTCCTCGCAGCTCTTCTTCAGCGTCTTCACGCAGTCGGCGCGGTAGTGCTGCAGCTGGGCATCCTGCGTGTCCACCGGATAGGACTTGCACACGCCGCCCAGGCAACTCAGCGGGAAGTGATTGTGCAAGGTGAGCACACGCTCCGGATCGTGGAAGCACTTCACATACTGATTGGGTTTGGTGTAGTTCTTGGCGCGGTGCACATGCTGCAGCATGTGCATGTACTTGGGGATGTCCTTGTGCCAGCCGTGCTCGTGCTGCTGGTCGTCCAGGAAGTACACGTTGCGAAAGTTGTAGCTGTGGAAGCCGTCCGGCTTGATCTTGCGCGACTCCGGCCGCACCTTGTCCATCAGCTCGGACCAGAGGACCGCCCCGCCCTTGGGCATGATCACCTCGTCGATGTCGAGCAGGGCGATGTAGTCGTACAGGTAGAGGTTCTTGTACAGGCAGTCGTTGTACGGAATAACCTCGTTCTGCCGCTTGTGGTTCGTCTTCTTGGTGAGGTAGAGGTGCTGGAATCCGGGCACATTCGGCTGCCCCCCGGGCAGTGTCAGCGGAATCACCTGCACCTTGCCCTCCTGCTCGTAGTGGTTCAGAACCTTCGTGATGTTGGGATGCACCTGTGAACGGGAAGGGAAGGTAGAGAAAGCGTATTAGAGTGATGGCCAGTACATTGGCCCTTGAAATCAATTAATGTCCTATACCATATAGGCTTGTGTTATATTCAGTGCTGTCACTTTAGCAATTAAGTTGCATTTTATGGGAACTTACAAAATAATCTAATGTAATATAAACAAATGTTGCATTTTGTAGTTACAACTGCGGCCAAAATATTAGTAGTTGGCAATGTAAAGTGCTCAAAAACATACCTTTTAGTTATAGGACAACTTTTGTTTTAATTTATCATAATGTTTGCTAACCAATAAACAAAATGAGACTCAAAAACCCTTTTATATTGTTAAAAATTTCCAAGCAAATTAAGAACTGTTAAAATTAACTTTTTACTTTTTTTTTTTTTAAATATTTATAATTATAAAATAAATGAAATTAAAATTTCAACAGGCGCTGAATTATAAATAATTAATAAATAGATATATCTATAAGCATTTCTTGAGTTCCTTTTTGATTTACTATTACTATTTATTACCTGCAGATTGTAGAAGTAAATCTTGTCGGCACCCAGGATGTTGAGCATCTCGATCCACTCGATGAGGCGCACACTCAGGTCGTCGTAGAGGAAGTCCAGTCCCTTGACGCAGACGGCGAAGCCCTTCTTCTGGTCGTCGGGCGGTCGGTTGTAGATGACGCGCAGGTTGTTGGTGGCCGTGTCGCACTCCTTCTCGACCATCGACACCGAGCTGGGCACCACGCCGTGGAAGGGCTTGGGGATTTGGCAGGCGATCAGGTACGGCTGGTAGATGCCCTGCTTGTAGTTGCCCCACTTGTTGTACCAGATGTACTTGTACTCGAACGTCTTCACGATGAACGGCTCCTTCTGGCCGTCGAACCAGAACTGGCAGAAGGTCTTCACCTTCGGCTCGATGCGGTCGATCATCCCGAGTATCCGGACCGTGGGACCAAGCAGCGAGGTGCGCCGAATGTCGTAGTACGCGCCGAATAGCTGGAACGTTCCGTTCGAGGTGCGCAGCGTCTGCCAGTATATGTTGTTGAACTCCAGCTCGAAAATGGAGGGGTACTTGGCGCACGTGGAGGACTTCTGCTGCAGAAAGTTCTTGTTCTTGCTCCAGTAGGCGATCGGCAGTGAGGGGATGCGGGACTCCACGTCGCGGACCAGCTGGTCATCGTCCATGGCTAAAAAGGGCGAAAAAATGCAAATGATATAAATGAGACCAAATTGAATAAGAAAACAATTGTTTCTGAGTATAAACTAATCCTAAGCAATTTTGTAATTTGGTTCTTAGTAATCAGAAAGTTTAAAAATATAGCAAATATTTTTTGAAAACTAATTTTATAACTTTTGTACAAATGTTCATTTACGGCGATACAGGTTTATAGACGTTAAAACCGTGTTATAAATGCTCTGTTTATGGTAATCAATTAATAAAAGTCCTATCGATTGAGAATTTTATGGTGACTTCAAAGAGAATATTGATTACAAAAAAAAAGAGAATATTCATCTTATTTAGTAGGTAGATCGTAGCATTCTCTGCTCACCTGTGCGATTGTCCACTAGAATCTCGCTGGGATCGAAGTGGTCCGTCGTCGTGGAGGTGGTCTCCGCGTAGCGCATGTCCTTCTGCAGCAGGATGCGTCCGTTGAGCGGCACCTGCTGGTATTCCTGCGGCACCAGGTTGGTGCCGTGCATCTTGAACAGCCCGATGATGACGAAGGACCAAACGCACAGTGAGAACAGGACCTTCAGGATCACCTTGGAGTGGGCCATGATAGCTGCGGTGTGGTGGTGTGCTGATTTCCTTCTTTTGGCTGGAGCTTTCCTACTTTTTCAGCCAGAGGCGCTGCAATGAGGAATAGGAAATGGTGGGTCATTAGATGGCGGGCGTTGCTTCGTTTCATTTCATTTCAATTCCCCCCCTCGCTCCCTTTTCTCATTATTCATTTCTAAATATGGCGGTCAGCCGGTCGTCCTATTTCCGTTTTCCCATCTCGTTTTTCCCCATTGGTCAGGCACAAATGGTACCAAGAAAACTGCGTGTAATATTTTCTAGCCAGTGGCAAGAAAACCCCTCCAGGTTGTGGGAGGCGAAGGTCCTTAGCCTAATGGCAAACAATTCAAAAACCCAACAACACAGCAGCAGACAACACAGTGGTTCTGGATGGGTACAAAGTGCATTAAATATGGCTTACTTTACTTACTTCCTTAAATGGCACTCAAAAAGATTTTTTTATTAAAATCGTTTGCTGTTCGTTAGTCTTTAAGCCCACATAATGTTCGATTACGTTTTGATTCCACTCTTTTGAAATGTTTCCGATATTCTTTTATCGACATTTTTTACTGCAGTTCATTTCCTGTTCGTTTTATAAACACTAAGCTCGGCTATACAAAATCAAATTTATTTTTTGAATTAAATTCTTCTTCAAATGTTTCTAAAATGAATAGAACATTAAAATTTTGTAACTTTAGTTTTTTTTTCAAATTGCCTTTTAAAAAGTATTAATTAAAATCGTTTTGAGTTTGTGTAGGCTTTAAAACTAAACACAGTGTTCAATTCCATTTTTAATACCTTTGTTTCGAAATATATATACGTTTTACTTTTATCGAGTAATCCACTGCAGCTCATTTTCTGTTCAATCCACTGTAAAGTTAAATTTGTTTGTAAAAATGTATTTTTTTTTTTTAAGTTTTATAAAATAAATAGCTTATTAAAGTTCTGTAACTGTAATTTCCTCCTTTAAAAAAGTATTCTAAATTAAAATCGTTTTGGGTTTGTGTACACCATATTTAATGCCTTTTTTAATCTCCCATTTTGCCACGGAAATCGAAAAGATTTCCATGTACTTTTATCCAAAATCGACTGCAGCTCATTTCCTGTTCCATCCACTGTTCGCTTTGGAGCACTCCCAACTCTCACTTGCATTCGCTGGGTCAACTGCCAGCTTTTCCCATGCCATGAGCTACGTACATATATGTGTGTATGTAGAACACCCGAACGAACATCCACTAGTATGGCACAGTCGCCACCCACAGAAAGCGACACTGCAGGCGACAATCTGTTTGTCTATCTGTGCTTTGTATCTTTGCAATTGCGAGTTGTGCGTGCGACAAACGACAGAAGCCAAGAGACAAAAGACAAACGACAGACGACAAACGACGGTTGGAGCATTCAGCATTGTGTCTGGCGGCAAGGCCTTCTAATATTTATGACATTGCAGCCGGACGACAGGGCCAAACCAGCTCCCTGATTCTCCTCGCTTCTCGAAATCCCTTTGGGCCAGGACCACACACATCCATAAACAACACGCCGAATCAACTATGTGTGTGTGCTAGCCCTAGGAGTTTGGGCTAGGATAGCTCATCCTGATTCCCTTCCACTTGCTCAGTCTCAGTATCGCCGGTTTCACTTTGTTTCTGTCGCTTTCAATTGAGGGCCAGTGTCCATTGTGAAAAAAAGCGGATTTCTGTGAGAAAAACTGTCACTTCTTTGGCTAAGCCATTCGCATCATCATTTAAAATCATCATCATCATTAAAATAATTAATAAACTTTAAAAGCTCAGCAGATATTAATATGCTTAGTACTAAACTATTTTCATTATAATACATTTCTCACATTTGTAATCTTAAAAATGCTGCCCTACCATTTTTTTTACAAATCACTAAAATCAAAAATGCCATATGATTAGCAAAGAGCATTAAAGCTTTCTATCTTTAGCAGTTTGCCAAAGCAGTTCATTTACTTCTAAACTGTAGTTTACCCTTTGCACGCACATTCACGTCGTTTTTGGGTATTTGTTTAAGTTGAGTCCCAGTCCCGAAAACTTGAAAACTTGCTGCAACATACTTTATTTGCAGCACTCGAAACGAAATCAGCTGCAGGGGTGTTTTCAAAAGCCGAAGGGGGAGCGGATATGCCAAGTTTTTACTCAAATGTTTTCCATTTCATTTGCATGCGCCACAAACTTTTTGCAAACACCAGGCCGAAATACAGAGATATACTGATATACTGATGGAGGGAGGGGGCAATCCAAATATGTTGCAACAAGCTTTCAGCAAGGGTACGACGACGAGAAGCTGCAGGGCTCGTGAAATATGCAAAAACACCTGTGTTCCTCGTTTCTCGCCCCCTTCTCTGTGCTGAAAATCCAACAAAGTAAAGCAAAGTAAAACTCCCTCTGGAATTTTCAACTGGAGTGAATAGTTGTTTATGATTCCAATCAGAGATCGTGTTTCTCTAAGCGAGTTCAAGGCCCTGCGTTCTTCGAGATACATGTGATATGGAGTGTGGCCCGGGGGATCTATCATTTATCATTTAGCTTGCCCCCGGGGGCTTTAACTTTAACGTCGTACCCATAAATCTGCAGAGTCCGAAAAACGATTTGGGTCAATTTGCCATTAAATACGCGTCATGCTTATGCGATTACTCCAAAGGCTGTGTTAGAAAACAGAGGCACAGGCACAGGCAGCCGCTACAAGTACGAAATCGAAATAGAATCCAACAAGTTGTTCTCGTTGCTTAGCTGGTAATTTGCTAGGCAAAACAGGTTCGATCTCCGGATGGAATGTGTGTCGCACCCAGAGAGCGGGAATACAAAATACAAAAATACAAAAATAATAAAAACAACCATGGAGAAATAAAAGCAACTGAAACCCGCTTCGAGCGATAGAAATTTTAATGATGCCTTTAACTATTCGGCTACCAAAATGGGTCAATGAGCCCCAATGACTCTTACGAGTCCAGAACCAGAACCAAAACCATAACCCCAGCAAATAAATCCATGGATACCACTTTGTGGATGGATTGGTCTTAGATAGCGAGCATTGATCTGTGGTTCATTGATCCGTAATCCCGAGTGGAACGAACACGAACGGAAATGTGCCAAAGACCAAGTGAGTGTGTCGCTGGCAAAGAGCCAATTAATCTGCAAAAATTCGAGGAAAATCAGAAAGATTTAAAGAGCCAACACATCCTTCAATCCATGATATACTATTTAAAGATTAAAGAGTTCCTAACAGTTTAAAGAGGAAAACACTTAGATGGTTAGAAATGATTTAAACTTTTAACAAACATAGATTTAATAGATTGCAAATTAATGGAATACAACCTGTTCATCCAGAAGGCCATTAATTGTGGGACCAGTTTTATGAACATTTATTAAAAGATTTAAGGCAATTCCAATGTAAAACACTTAGCTGAAGCTCTTAAGATATTCAGAAATGATTACAACTTTTTAAACATAGAAATAAACGATTGCATGAACAGAAACAGAAGTTACTGTTCAAAGATTAAAGCCATTAAATTATGGGACAACTTTTATAAACTGTTTAGATAAGTATAAAATAATGTTTTATCTTCTTGTGTTTTAAGCGGACTCAGTGACTAGTGCAATAAATATAAGCTTCCCTTGTAGCAACAGAATAGTGATAAAAAAAAATGATACCTTGTAGATTAATAATATCTGGTTAACTGGAACCAATGGCAATGTTTAAGAACTTTAAAACGTCTCGAAGGACACCAAAATAGTAATCAAAAAGCCTTCTAAAAAACACACCTGTTGGATGATTTCGACTGCAATTAGCAGCGCTATAAATAATAAACTAAGACCTATGCAACAATAATTCAGAACCACAAAGTGCTCAAGCGGCTCATGATAGAATCCCCCGTCTCTAAAAACATAATAAACAAGCGGTGAGGTAATAATATGACAGGAAAATATGTGGACAAGGTACTCCTGGATTAGCGAAAACCTTGGCGGGCACACGTAATGTCCATAAATGTTGTCCCATTCCAGTGGCGATCATAACTCGTTTTGATTTTAGCTGGCCCGCTGATTGATTTATGCATGCGAGATGAAGACAAACATGAAAAGTTGTTCATTAGCAATGCTATTTATTTATAGGTGGCAGCATCGCACCTGCAAAGTCAGGTCAACAGATGTGTGAGTCATCATCATCAGCAGCATCATCATTTGTTTTAAATGCAAATCAGAGGGGATTCAATGAACCCCACAAAAAAAAAACACAAAACTATTTATGTATACACCATACCCCGCTAATGGGGGAAAAATAGAAAGAAAACATGGCAAATTAAACGAAATGGGAGTAGAGTAAAGTTAAGTAGAATGAATCTAAATGATTCATGGCCCGGCCAAGTGGCACAAAGATCCGTTCGATGGGGCCACGCATTTGTATTTTCACTGATGTTGGGAACAACAAAACCCAAAAGCCAAAAACCAAAGACCGAAAACCGAAAACTGAATACTGAAAACCAAAAGTCGAAACACGAACGCATTTAAAATGCACGGGCAGACGCAAAGTGGCGCAAATGAACTTAAGTATCTTGCGTGAAGTGTTGAGCATTGAGCATCGAGCAGCGAGCAGCGAGCATCTCGCAGATACTCCGCAGCATATGTATCTCGTATCTGTATATCTTTAGCTGTATCACTATACGTATACCGTATACCGTACCCCTTACACCGCACGAAAATCCAGCTGTTTACGATGCTTAATCAGTTTTCCAGCGAATTTCACAAAGTTTTTTAACCTTTCGAACCGCTGATTTGAACTATTTCAAACATAAATTTAATAGATTGCAAACTAATGGGATACATAATGTTCATCCAGAAGATACTATTTAAAGATTAAAGCCATTAATTATGGGACAACTTTTATAGTCTGTTTAAAGTTATTTCTTTCTAACCGCATTACCATCACAATAAAATATATATAAAAGGATATTCTATTTTTCTGTTGCTTCTTTGGCATATTTCTATCTCACAAGTTAAAACGGTAATAGTGATAATGCTGAATCAATAAAGATATGTTACTTTAATTTTAAAGAT